GCGGCTCGTTGATGCGTGCACGCAGCGTTGTGTACGGCTCGCATCACGAGCTGAGCCTGGGTGGTTTGTTCGTCATGGCGTTTGGGGGTCTGTTGCTTAATGCCGCTCTGAAACGACCGTACCCGAAACACCGCGCCGGTCTGGCCATGTTCTTTTGTTCGATTGTTGCCTTTTACCAAACGTCATGCTGCAAAACGGTGGTTTGTTACGAAAAAAAGAAGCGCCCCCGCCGGCTTGAAACGGATAAACGACTGGACGTTAAGCCGCGACGCACGGAGCAGGTAGCATGACTGGTGAGAGACGGTGTCTAAGATGAGACTGGATAGTAGTGCCTTTTCAGCTTCTTTTTACGCAGGGTGTACATGTCAAGTTGCCCTCTTTTGAGGCGTGTGCGAAAATTCACGGCGCACTTTTCCGGCCGATGCGCACAAGGTGCTTTTTCCTTGTGTTGGAACAAGGCCATGGAACGATTCTGCTAGATGGGCCACGTTTTTTACTGCCTTGGGCGCTGCACTCTGTTGTATGTACTCAAGTTACTCCGTAATCAGAGTCAACGTGCAGGGGGGAAAGGGGGGGCGTGTACGGAGTACGTCGAGGCCATATCGACAGTCCCGTAAACTCAGCCCAAGCAAGAAATAAATAAATAAATAAATAAATAATCAAGCAGACGGACGCCAAAGAGGGCAAGCCAATGCCAGCTGCAGAGAGCAAAAAGTAACGTCAAGGAAGAAAAAGTTACTTTGCCCAAGACTTGCCAAACTATGTGCAGTACATGTACAGGTAGCACCGTGTCTGTGCAACCGCTTAGGGGAAAAAAAAAAAGAACCACTAACTGATGTTTGCTGTCGAGAAAAAAACTAACATGGCCCGAAGGGAAAGGAAAAAACTAACAAATTGTTTTCATCCGTGTTTATGATTGAATGTGACGCGGGTCTGGCAGTTTATCGAGATTAGCTACCTGGGCGTGCAACGTCATTCCCGCACATCCGAGAAGAAGCTTCGGCCCATCAGGCACTAGCTGCTGTCCGTAAGCGAGAATTTTCGAGCTACGTCAGTATGTACTGCTGGCACATGCGTTGGTGGACGTACGCGTTGCTCGGATGTGTCAGCCACTCGGCGTCATCCGGTGGCTTTTTTCAATAACTCTTTGTACGGAGTACGAGTACGGATTAACTAGTAAGTGTCAATTGATATCACGCCCGGCCAGGACAACAGCATCGCGAATGGTCTTTGCTTTTTTTTTTGTTGAGGGGTGGGCAAACCACCGCCCCTGTTAGCTACGGGCCTGTTTTCTTTTTTTCACCTTTGCCCTCGTGGTCGCCCGATCAGATCACGCTTGGGGGCCGAATCTGTTTGAGCGCTCCTCCGTACTCGGTAGGCTTGTACAGTGTTTGGGAGGAGCAGCAAAATGCGGGGGCAATTGATGGGTTGCAAAACCTCGACTTGCCATGTCCCTCTTCTGTCCGGAGGCTGCAACCCTCTACACGCACGCAACGTACGACTCTGGCAATCAACCACCACCATGACGCTCACAGCCAGCGATCCACTTGCCGATCGCCGACAGGGAAACTTTTTTTTTAAAAAAAAAGGAGAGAGAGGGATTCGGACCCTGCGCGGTGGTGTGTTCTGCTCCGTGCGGCCGGGCTTGGCTTTCCCTGCTGCAGCGTTTTCATGGTTCCGACTGAATCGAGTGGGCTGTTCTGGAGACGTGAACGCGTGAGAGTTGCACCCGGTCCCGCCAAAGAGCAACGATGCTTGGAGAAGAAGAAAATTCAACAATTATATAGATGGATAGAAGTATGGACGGGTGGCCAGACGTAGCAGAGGCAGGCCCAGATAGTGCTGGCACCGCTCGCACAAAATACACAAGATGCCAATGCGTTCGCCGTCGAGAATGGCATCCGGCTGGGTCGTGTCGCGTGCCCACTGCGGCAGGCGGGAGCTGCCGAGCGGTCAATTGGCTCCAGCCCGAAAAAAAAAAAAGGATGGCACCGGCCGACATTCTTTTTGGGGCCGGCCGTCTGCAAAAGAGTCGCATCACGACTGGGGGCGCACTTTTTCGTTTGCCAATGGGGGCCAGGTGAGGACCACATGCGTTGCGTTGTATTCGGCACGATGGCGAGAAACGGATTAAAGAAAGAACGCGCCGCATCATGCAATTCTTGCACGATATTGCGTCCCGTATCGGGGGAAGAAACCCCCACAGCTGTTCCGGGCCAGTCAGCTGCCGCGTTCGGCACCCGACACGGCTTTAACAAAACATCAACAGTATCAGCGGCCATCTCTGCCTTTTTGCCCTTTTGGCAAACATTGGGAGTTAACTCATCATTCCACCTGGCGCGACAAAATTTCCTTTTGCTCCACTGCAGAAGGGTGACAAGAGGGCCCCAAGAGAAGAAAAGTCCGCCCTTACATCGCCCACCCTCGTGAGACACGAGAACCCTGCATGGGTCGGTTTTGACAGCATTCGCGGAAGAAAATGAACAAAGCTAGAATCAATTGACAGGAGAAGAAGAAAAATTTTCCATTTACGTTTCCATTGAGGGTTCTGTCTTAGGGGGGGCGATTTTTCCATCTTCACTCCCTTGGAATTTTTTAGACTTGAATTGCAAAAAAGCAAGTTCCGTGTTCGACAACCCCACCGTCGGACTCGGTCGCCAGCAAGAGGGACAAAATTCCCCTTACAATCAAGACGGGAGGATTCCATCTCCCGAGACTCCATCTCCGTTTCCCCCATCCCGGTCCATAACAATGTTCAAGGAGAGAAAGGGGGTGTGTTCTGTATAAACTCCTCGTGCATAAACATTATGCAGATGCTGTGAAGAGAACAACTCGCAAGGCAAAGGGGCTCCACTGCGCCGCTTGCTACTGGTTCACGGCCAGCACCACAGGGACAACATGTGTTCTAGTCTCTCTGGTTTCAACAACGCCGCCTGGACAGGCTGAGGAACAGGGACGGGCCCTTTGTATATGTATTTGTTTGTTTATTTTTTTTTTAAAAAAAAATGTATATTTTTTATGCAACCAAATGGAGCCGTATATTTCGGCAAGGGCAGCAGACAGCGAATGGCAAGCCAAGAGGCCACGGCGTTCTGCCTTGTTTGGCCAGCCCCGTCTCAGAAGGGGACGGGATGCCTGGCAAGCTGGCAAATCGCCCGTGTATGTAAGCAAACCTGGTATACCCCACGTACGGAGTACAATACGTCCACTACGAGCCAAAAAAAAAAAAACACAAAGACTGGTGAAACGTCGCAGGAACCAGTGCCCCTCGCCATTCTTTGTAAGCATCGCGGCAACCGGCACCTTACTCGGGGTTCGAGGTCTGCAGCGCAGTGGTCCGAATCGCGCTCCCAAGTCGAGAACCCTCCGGCAGTTCCTTTTTTTTGCCACCACACCAGCAATTCGAAGCAGTTGCTCCGTCGTGCTGCGAAATCTCAAGCCTCCTGGGTCGGTGGGCACAGATCTAGCGGACAGGCGGCCACGCCCGCCCCCGTACATTTCAACCTTGCCGTCCGATTGCCCTCCTCCGCCTGTCAAGCAGAGGCCCAGAACATAGCCACCAACTCTAAATCCCCCTCCTTTTGCCTCCTCCTCATCCACCCCCAATTAGGCCCTTTTCACTGGTGTTCGCTCGCTAAGGGAAAAAGACTATTTCGGCGCCTGCTCACCCGGCGTGGCTTGGGAGGCAAAAAAAATTTGGTTTTTTCTCCGACAAAGCCCAAGTGATACTCGGAGGCGTGTGGGGGTGGAGTAAGAGAGGACCGGGCTGGTTCGGATATCAGAGGGGCCTCTTTTGTTGGGTTGTTTGCCCCATGCCGGTGCCGGAATACAAGGGCTGCGTGCAAAGTCGGATGCCATGTGCTGGGCGGGAAAAATGGCGGCTGTTGTTTTGCGATGTTTTTTTTTTTGGCTGCTCGTCGTCGTTTGTGTAGTGGCGAATTGGCTTTGCCTTGGGACCCATATTGCCGAGTTGCAGAATTTTGGTGTGGTAATTGGCGTGTTTATGCAATGCGTGGGCTTCTTTTACGTACGCACAATGCACAATGCACGAGGCACGGCGTACGAGGATTGGCTTTGGTAGCATGCGTTCCGAGTCCGTCCTTGGGCCTTGTGTCAGCTTTCGAACCCAACCCGTTCGGTCCTATCAACTCTTTGAATTATCACCCAACATCCGGCATGATTGCCAGCTGGTTTGGTCTTTACTAGTCATGGTCCTCCTCAATCATAATCACTTGTACGTGTGAGGGGGGATCCGGCAACCCAAGAGTCGTTTAGTTTGGCCGTGACGGAACGGTGCTTCTATTGAATCAAGCAGCCCATAGGCTGGTTCGTGCTTGTAGCTATCCATCCAGTCTCTTGTCATAATCTATCTAGATGTGCAGTCTCTCATGTATCCCATCTCTGGGCCATGTATTGCTGCCAGCTCCTCCCCCCTTCCGACTTGGGCCACATATCGCCCGTCTGGCTCCGTTGCGCCATTGCATTCTCTGTAACAAAAAGCCGAGTCCCGTCTATGCCAGACCCTTCTGTCCTGGGTGTCGGCCGACTTTGCATGTCCCGAGTATCATCATATTCCCTCAATTCCAAGTCCAATTGCTCCCCATGCCATGCTAGTGGTAGTAGTAGTAGTAGTAAACAGTTTGTGACACCAACTCCAGCCTAATATGTGTGACACAGAATACCTCGCCTAGGCCGCCATGTCCCATCTTTCCCAATGTTTAACCAAAAAGGCGTAGAAAATACAGAAACAGTTTTGTAGTGGATGATATGCATCGCTCCGTGTAATGCCGTCTTGATACAACAAACAATTCGACGAAGAAAATAGTGTGTGGGTGGGTGAGTGGAAAGCCGAACCAGGCCATCCACGACGTTCGGTGTTGCTTTTGATTGAGTAGAGTTTCGTGGTATCAGTGTCGTCAAGTTAAAAAAATAATACTTTTTTGTTTTCAAGTGTAATGTAATCGAGAGTGAAACAAGGTTCGGGCGTGGGTATTAGGAGTCTAGTACGATCGTCGTCGTTGGAGCCTGACATGCTCCAACGAAATGGCGTACGCTTTGAGCTCTTGCTTGGCATTGTCGGACAGCTGGTTGGGCTCGCCCGTCGTCGACGTACTCTGCATGGAGCAGAGGCTGCTGTGCGAGCTCGATGGGGTCAGGTTTGCAGCAAAGGTGGAGGTGGACTGCTCGAAAGCAGAGGCGGTGTGGTTGCTGCTCAACGACAAGCTGCGGGCAGCAGACGAGGCACCGTAGGCTTGGGCATTGCTAAAGTCGTACGCTGGGGATAGGTAGAACTTTGGCCTTGATGGTGATGATGATGATGACCGAAGAGGCAGACTTGGTGAGGGAGTCGACCAAGGATAGCCGGCGGGAGCAAAGGCTGGTGAGCTTGCTTGCGAGCTTGGTGTTGACGTCTTTTCTTGATCGGCCAGTCTGCAGGATTCAGAGCAGTATGCCGCACCGTCGACCTGGACCTGCTTGTCACAGGCGAGGCAGAATTGGTGTGCCCAGAGGTTGAAAGCCATGGTAGCTATTGGGATGTGATGGGTGGTTTGGTCTGGTTTGGTTGTGATGAATATCGGAGCAGAGAAAGCTGTCCAAGAAAGTGTTCCCAAGGTCCCTTTTATGAACCCCGTGAGTTTAACGTATGACTGTTACAGGCACAACAAAGACGTATCAGACCGGGGGGGCTTTTGTTAGCTGTAGTGGGGGGAGCGGATGTTGAGATCGTGAGTCAAGTCGAGCGAAAGCGGGACGGGCTGATGCAGTGGGTTTTGTATGTGTGGAGTGCCCGTTGCATTTGATTGCCTATTAAACCGAAGAGACTCAAGATGGGTCGTGGATGGAGTTGAGGAGAAAGCAACAAGAAAAAAACAAAGCCCAAAAGAAGATGGGGGGAGAGGGAGATGATGCAAAACTGGGAGGAGGAGCATTGAAGAGGATGAGGGCAGGACATGTAAGTAAGTTATATGTATGGATTGGGTGTGCATAGTTGCGGCGTGGGAGGAGAGGGACACACAGAAGGACAAGACAGCCTTGGGGCGCGAGAGACATGGATAGACAGGGATGGTGATGGGCGGGCCACTAGAAGTGCGTGCGAGCTGCTGGGTGTGGTGTGCTTTCTCGAGGCACCTGGGGGAGGGGTGGCATCAATGGCCTCGCCGGGGTCAAAGGGGGGGAGGGGCGTGAAAATCATAATGAGCACAGGCAGTTTGAAAAGTCACTTGTGCAGCCTGGCCGCGAAGAGTGGCCAGTGGTATTAGATGACAGCTTTTTTTCCTCCTCCTAGTTTGCGACATGGAGACCATTTACAGCTAGCATCCTGAGCTAGCGCCCTCTGTAGCTGCGTACCTGCCTAGGGCCGCCGGACAGGAGGGCACATGTCTAGCGTCTGGTCAATAATGCCGGCATTTTGGCCTCTGCAGCCTATTACCAGCACTGGTGACGGTTCGCAGGCGTGAGCACTGGCGAGCAAGACAAGAGTCGGCAAGAATGGGCCAGGCGGGGGTCCACCTCCATGATCCAGTGCCCTGGCTGCAGCGACAACAGGGTGTGCGTGTCCGAGGTGGTGTGAGCAATGGTGCACCAGGTGCACCGAAAGCCGCCGTGGCCGCCGTCTTGTTAACGTCAATCGACCTTCTATGGCGGAATCCCGTCTTCCTGTGGCTTGTTGAGTCTGCGCCTGCGCCTGCGGCTACGCCTAAGGACGGGCGTGACAGACCCGATGTGGGGGCGCCACCAGCTTAGTGCGTGGCGTGAGCTGTTGATGACACCAGGCCACTGCCAATGTTATTTTTGTGCAATTTTTTTTTTTTTTTCATCTTTTTTCGCTGTCCTTGTGCCAAGTGGAATACATGGATGGCCAAGAGGGAGGAGATTGTGTGTGCTGCTGCTCAGAGCATGTGTGCAATGCGGTAACGGCAGCGCTTGGCAGGCCATCATGGTGCACATGGCCGGCCTTGGTCCATCAATTTGCCTTCTGCCTCGAGCTTGCTATCCAATAATGGCTGATGGGCGAACGACGAAAGGCGGCGCTGAGAATGCGTGCGTCGGCCGGTACATGCGACTAGTCGATATTGTAGTGGCCTAGTCGCACCACCGCAATGTGCGTGTGATTTGTGATTTTTTTTTCCTACGGGTCCAAAACGTAGAATATTCCCCGGTGCATGTTTTCTCTTTTTCCTGAGGCACTGGTGAAGCACGCAAATCAACGTGTGGCTTCCACGATGGTATGATGCCATCCCAGTGGTGAGGTGAGGTGACTCGATGGAGCACAGCTCGAGCTTATCCGTGCTTCCCCGTGCCAGTGCCCCATTATGGCGAGGTCACCCGCCAGTCACGAGCACCGGCCGGGCGATGAGCTCATGGCGACATCGGGAAGGCGAACGCTGCTCGATTGTGTCACATTTCTTCAGTGCCTTGTCCTGGGACACACTGCCATTTTTTTTTAGCCATCTAGTCTTTTTTATTTTGCTCCCCCCCCCCCCCCCCCCCCCCCCCCCCCCCCCCCCCCC